TTTCTTTTTAGAAACAGCTAAGGAGTAAAAAAACATCCAGCATTGCCTGACCTCAGAGCTAACCCAGCTTTGAGGAGGAGTTTGAATCCAAGGCCTTTTAAGATTCCTTCCAACTGGAATTATCCTGTGATGCTGTGAAAACAGGGTCAGAGCTGAAGAAGGAGCACCAAAGGCTTTCTGTTCAAAATAGAGAGACTTGAGAGGTTTTTTGCCTGGAGTGTTTCTTAGTGCCTTGATAATGTTCTCCTGTCCTTCTCATAATCATCACTGTGGGCACTCCGGGCTTACGTCAACAGCTCTGATCCTGGGGGAGAGAGAGGAGGGGTGAAGGGGGTGAAGGAGAAAATCTGTGGCATTTATTTGATGTGGAAGTGCTTACATCCTATGACAACAGACAGGAGGTGAGAATCAGTGTGACTAATGAGTTGTTTACTTGGCTTTTGTATCCCCCCGCCCCCCCAGGTACACGGGCTGTGTTTGTTTTGATATGTATTGATTTCAGATTCCTGCAAATACCATTCCTTTGTCCTTCACCTTCTCAGCAGTTTGTGAGACACTACTAATCCCGTCTCCTTGAGCTGTGGAAAAGATAGGGTAGTGCGGATGCAGAATGCTGCCATAATTTTTTCTTTTGCAATACAACAGTACCACATTTTTAGCAAGGAGATGTCCTTTCTGCGTTTGGACCCAGACCCTGTTTGGAAAACTGAAGTCCCCTTATAAACTCCCTTTACAGAACTGATCCCATGTACAACAGGCATGGCATCTGCCATTGTTGTTATATCGAGGTGCTCTAAAAAAGTATGCAAAGGGTAGAGTGTGCCTCTGCCGTTTCCTGATGCTTGTCCTGATGACACCAGACCAAAACTCAAGGACAATGGGAAAAAATCAGTTTGTTTTTAATGCTGAATTTGACAGCATCTGTATGAATTGGACAGTTTGTGATTGGGTCCAGAATGTTTTAGATACATCTCCAACACCTTTTGCAAAAACTGGTGGGGAAGACTGCAGGGAATGCCTGGGGTTTCTTTATTTAATGAAATKATCTCAGCTGAGATGCAAAGGACTAAAAGCTGGACTTTAGGGGTATTTTGTATTTTGTACTGTGGTGTGGCACTGCTGGGCTGAACAGGCTACACATCCCCGAAAGGCTGAAGTGCTGTCATAAATTACTTTATATTTGGTGAAGCACACTCCTTTTTACCTTTTTGTGTTTGACCATCCCAACATTGAAGGAGTGGATTTCTCTTGTGTGCTGTTCAGTTTTGCCTAGGGCTCTCCRTGGTGCAGCTGTGTATCTGACTTGCTCTTAAGGAAAGAGCTACCTGGAGTAAAGTAGGAGAAAAATAAATTACATAAGTGAGAAACAGGTAAAGGGGGTTCCAAACTGCACATGAATTCTGGGGTCCAGGATGCAGAGAGATGCCGACAGCTCTTGGCTGGTGCAGAAGCGGGAGGGAGCAGAAAGCTGTGTCAGACTGTGGAATGGTCTGAGCTACAGCTCGGTTCTGTTAAAGCTTTGGAAATACTCGAGTATTTTCTGCACTTATATAACTATGAAAGAAAATCAGTGTAAATGAGCAAGTGGATGGCTATGGGCAGGCACAGTCACTTTGTCCTTGCTGTATGAGGGAGCAGGTCAGCGGCAGAGCCTGGCCGGGCGGGGACAGGGCTTGGGGAGGCTTTGAGGGGGTCGGTGATGTGGGCGCTGGTCTGGTGGGCGCGCTGTTGAGCCAAACACAGCCTGCCGGAGGAGCATCCCTCCACTGCTGGGAGGGSAGCAGGAAAAAGGATAAGTGAATGCTGAATTTAAACAAAGGGAATAACACAAAACTCATTTTATGGCTGCCGTCGGCAGGTGAATTGCACATTGAAGAAAGCTCATAAAGGGCCAATGGGCCTTACTATCTGACACTAGATCCATAGTGAATTCTGACATTTGACTCAGTGCAGCAGAGAATGGGCCTGGAGAGGGASTGCAGGGCTCCTGTGAGTGTCCCAGCTGCCAGGGGACTAGGGGAGATCTTCTTGGATGTCACTTTCTGGCAGCAGCCCCTCTGCTTGCACAAATAATCAGTTTGTTATCCTTTTTTTTATTTTAACACCCTCAGCTCTCAGAGTTCTTTAGTAGAGAGCAGCTGATGTTTTCAAGTCCAGTTTCAGAAGTTGCCTTCCTGTTTTGGGAGAGCATTTCAAGAGGAAGATTTCTCCCACCTTTCTCCTGCTTGCTGACAGGGGCAGCTTGTTTCCCCATGCTGTACCAGAGAGCTCAGGGGAGGCTTCTTGGCTGCTGTCACTGCTCTACATTACCAGAACCCGTGCTGACTGGCAGTTCAGTCTCTTTTTCCACTCTCCTTTTACCTGAAACTGTTGTTACCATTTCCAGCCCTTCCACACTCCCCGTGCRTGTGCTCTCGGGGCACATCCCGCTGCCGCCTGTCACACCAGCTGCTCTCCTGGCTCAGCATGGCACTGGGCACAGAGACAGCGGGCACCCTCCCCGGTGACAGCCTGAGTGTGTTTGCCCTGGGGACACATTGTGCTCTTATTAGGCAGAGTCTGCGCTGAGTGCCACCTGAAGTGCATCCAAAACCAGCCCCTTCTCTCCCCACTTGGATCGAGCACAACCTTTCCAGCCTGAGGCCACCCCAGCAGCAGCTGTGCTCACCTCTTGGGTGCTCTCCTGCTGTTCAGGTTTTCCACATGCAATATGTTAAAAAAAAAAAAAGGAAGAATAAAAAACCACCTAAACTAATGATAAATAATTGAGTTTGACAGTAACAGAATTTGATTTGTTTTTCCAGAACGCTGACAGTTTCCACGGCTCAGCTCTGCTGCTTATAATTGTAACAGTGAATGAGAAATGGTTTGGAAACAGCTACAGTTTTAATTGGCGAAGCAATTACTGTTTAGTTTTGATGGTGGAAAATAACTGCATGTAAGGTGTTTCTTTTCTGTGTATTTTCAAATTTGTAATTAGGCTTCTCCAATTATGTTCTTTATAAACTTTGGAAACAGATCTTTCAAATAAGTTTTTACTGCCTGGTATTCTTATGCACATAACTTTGGTAATGYGAATAGACTCACAGGACTTAAAAGAAATATTAATGTGGGTAAAATTACCCCAAACTTCTGCTAGTAGCGCTCTTTTTAATAAATAAACAAACCAAATTTATCCAGTTTTCATGAAGAAAGGCGGACATATTTTTTCTTTTTTTTTTCTGTGGGCTGCAAATTGCCATCTTTTTGTAATATGGCTATCAAAAAGAAATAAGTGCAGTCATCATCTTTGAAAAGAATGGGCTGTTTGACTACCTTAGGCAGTCAAGTTCTGCTGTGTTACATAGTGCAAATAACTCATCATCAAGACTTATTCTGGATTTTAATCAAAAACTTGACCCAGGATAAAACAAAAGAAAGACAACTGGGGACTAATTTTTGTAACATTCTGTGTCACCCCACTATGACTAAGCTTGTTTATAAATACCTTGTCCCTGCCATTGACCCTGCAGTCTTGGCAGCAAGAGTACCATACATATGGCTTATGGGAGCTGCAGCTCCAAAGCTGTTTGCTCCCCCAGCTGTGTAAATATTAAAGAAGAGATGATGCTGAAGGCAGAGGCCACGATAGGATGTGTTACCACATGCCCATTGTGTAATCATCCCACACTGCTCCACACACCCYATGCCAGGGAGCAGCAGGAGAGCCTTGGCTTTTCAGGTTGCCAGCAAGCTTGTTTTTCCTTGAAATCCTGCCTCAGTGAACAAGACTGGTGAAAGTCATTTGTGTCAGGTGGATGCCAAATGTGGGCTGGTGTAATTTTAAATTGCCACCAGTTAAGTGTGCAAAAACCCAAATGGCTCCTTCATAGAAGATGTTAATTGCACATACATGAGAGAAGAAGTAGGGAACAGAGCTAGCATGAAATATCTCTTTGGTTTTGCATGAGTGATCAAGGCTCAAAGAACCCCAGCTCTTGGTTTCCTTGCTTCTGGCATTACCATGCTGTGGGAGGGGTTCCAAGCTCCTTTCTGTGGCGTCCTTTTTTGAGGGGGAGGAATGAAAATTTAACCTTGTTGATGCAATGGAAGAGTTGGTCAGGCCAAGGTAACAGTGAAAAGTATTACAGAATATCCAATGCAGACTTTTCTCATCACTATGCATGAGGATACACATTCTTTGTTAGCCAGCTCATTTTTCATGGTAAAATTGCTTTGAAGAAATACAGATGTAGAAAAGCCAGCTACTGAGATGTAGTTCCTGAGYGCTAGAGAATGCTGACTAGGGAAAACACCCAACTGTAGTTGTGTTGTTTTGGTTTTTCAAGCTGTGCACAGATCATCAGAAAAGTCTTCACTGCACAGTCCTGGAAAACAAGTACCTGAATCTCTGCATTTGTAGAAGACAATTGGAAAGATAACTCATCAAGATCCTTGTGAAATAATGTTCTAGTGTTGGGGCGCAAATGTTCTCTCCACACCTAAAGGATTGAGGCAAGAATAGAGTAGGTAGTTTGTGCAAATAAGCATGGATAAACTTGGTGGAAACCTGAATGCAAGTGCCAGCCATGTAGACTTTTAACTGGGTTTTCTCAGTTGATTCTTTTCTTTATTTAGGCTTACAAATAAAATTCTGTGTAATGATGAAAACAGTATTAATTTTACAAATTTATTATTACAAAAAAACATACTGAATATATGCTGTGTGTTTCCCTCTGGTTCAATTCTGACCTCATTTATGTATTTCCATTACTGTGTGTCTGTTTAGTAGAGAATGGTTATACTATTATTATTATTATTATTATTATTATTATTATTATTATTACTTCTCACCTCTCACCAGACTGCAGTATAATTTGCTCTAGAGTAGTATTTCTCTTTCTAGACAGATCCAGCAAACTAGAAAATGTTGCTAATGAAAAAGTCAGAATTTGCTCTTTTTTATGGCATGGATATGGCAGAAAATGCATTGTCACTTGTGCTTGTATTGTGTGTTACAGATCTGAACGCATCACAGCCCCAGGGTCCCCAGACAGGCATTCCAAACCAGGGATCCATCCAGTCCCCACACGCAGAAGAGCTGCTGCTGAACCAGCCTGAGAGCCTGCAGGATGCGGAAAGAGGAGCCAGAGTAGAAGAGGAGATTGTTTACCTCTGATGACTTGTTTTCTGATCTCAGTAGCACTTTGGAAAGATTACTGTTTTTGCTCTACTAAATCTCTGTAGTTGTTCTTTGTATGACCATCTGGCTTTAAGGGTAGTATTTAATATTCAATGCAAATTTTCCCCCATGATAAATGTAGCAAGTAAGTTATTTTGGAGCCTTTGTTGTGTAATCTTTAATTTATGGCATGATTTCAAATGCTTTTCAAGAAGCAATGAGTTGCAGGGGAGACATAACATTCTGAAATTGTAAGGATGCCACCAAGAACTGTGAAAGCTAGTGTTGATTTTCTCTAGTCCTCTTTCTACAAGATTGAGCTAAGAGACATGGGCCTCATGATGCTATTTGAGTTTTCAGARTGTGTCTCAATAACCTTCTAACATTTGTGGTATTACATGAGAAGACAGCATTGTAAGAATGATGGCTGTGGTCTTTGTTGAAATGTGCTATATACCCTTAGCTGTTGGGTCATTTTCCTTATCTTCTAGCTCAGGAACTGCTCAGAAGGGGATGTTTTTTTGGTCTGAGCATAATTGCATAATTGTAAGTGTTTTTTCATGTCCCAAAGCCTATCATCATTTTGGTACTACTGCCAGTTTCTGTGCAGAGATGCACTAAATCAGTTTGTTACTGTATTATAGCTGTACCTCACTTCAGTAGGTGTCCTTACACATTAAAATCTGTCAGATGAAATCATTACACTGGTCAAAAGAAAAGAAAGAGGGAAAATAGTAGGTTTCTGTTATCTGAACCCATCTGAAATGACACTGTGTTCCCATGTAGGAGTCAGATAGCTTTCTGCTTTCAGGTTCATGACWTCATCTCTGTGTTAGGCAGTAAGAAACCAGGACTTGTTTTGTGGCTTTTTGTCTTTCTGAAAGATTTGTACACTTCTGTCAAACTGAATAAAAGCTCTGTGCATTTCTGCAAAACTGTAACTTTGATTCATTGTCAGATTCTCTAAAGAAGTAAGAAAATGGGAAGAAAAGAAAAATTCTCCAGGCCTTGTTTGCACTGAGCTCTGCTGCAGATCTGTGTTCTGGTCCAGTGTAGCCAAAGCCGCTCTCTGCATCTCAGCTGGCAAAACCAAGGATGTGCCTTTTACTGCTCAGTGTGGCCAATGGGATTGGCAGAGGGGCAGCAGGACATGGTTCTTCAGCCAGGGCTGCCTCACATCTGCCCATCTCATGGGGCAGAGAAGTGCAGGATTGCTCTCCTGCACATTTGTCTGGGTAAGCCCCAGGTGCCAGCAGTTTCCATTCTGCCCTGAGCCTCGTGCATCATCCTTTGCAGGGCCCAGAGTTTCAGATATGTATGTTTGTCAGCAAGGGTTTCCTGATGGAAGGGAAGCAAGGGGAGATTGTCTTCCAGGGGCTGGTGTACCATGGGGAATACTCTAAACAAGAGTTTTCTGGGCTATCAGAGTAGTTGTTCAGTTGGTATCTTGGGAAAACCACCGAGCACCTGACTTGATGAGCAGGACATGATTCTCAGCTGTATTTACAGGTGTACAAATCTCATCAGGGAAAGATTTGTTTTCCAGTGTCAATCTCCAGCATTCAAGACTCCTGCTAATCTGACAGGACTTTTAAAATATGTCTCTTTATAAGAGAAAAAAAAATCCCCTTTTAGATTTTCCASAATTGTTTCACCTTCTTTACTTTTCATAATTAAACTAAAATCAAAATGCAGATCCAACTCCTCTTAAGGGTCCTGCAGTAAGGACAGCTTCTCTGAACAACTTCTTAGCAAATTTCTAAGTAGCTAGACTAATTTCTTGGGAKGCTGCATGTCCCAGGATATGTTACTTGCTCAGGGACCCATGGGAAATTGGGAAAAATGAGCAGTTTTCTCCATGGTTACTCTCTCTGCATTTTATTGTGCTTTGGCTGAAACATCTGGTACTGATTACTGTCAAATCCAAGCTGTTGGATGGATAGCTGCTGTCCCAGTTTGGTGTGGGAATTCCCATGTAAGCGTCTTGCCACTGGGAGAGGAAGAGATCCTGCTTCTCTCATTGGTAATAATTGAGGGGCTGGGAGCTGAAAAGTGGCTGGCCCAGACTTCAGCTGTTGTGCAAATTCTTTAGGTCCCTTAAAATCAGGCAGCATCTTATTTTGCTCACCTGTGTTTACAGTAAAACTACTGGCATTTCAGAAAGGCAAAGGCAGGAAACAGGTGGCCTCTAGATTTAGGCATTTTAATTGTAGAAAATGTTTAAAGTATAGGCCAGTATGGTCTCGGCAGGTGTTCTTTATAACAAGATATATTATGCACCCCTGAACTCTGTCCATTATTTAGGCATTTCTTAATACTTAGCGGAATTTAAACACAGCCCCAGTGAGACTCAGCTATTTTACAGTCTGTGTTTTTCAGTTATTGTCGAGCATATATTAATGCTGCATCTTCTTTTTGAATTTGAAAAATAGATTAAAAAATTCTCTTCACCTTTTTTATAATACTTTGAAATAGGTTTTTTTTTGCAAAGTCTGTTGCTTTTCACTCAGTCCAAATACTGTGTTTTCTTTTTGCTAACCTTCTCAAGGCATCTTGCCTCTGAAAGCTCTGAATCTAATCATTAATTTCAGTATTTAARTTACAGGAGCAGTTGCTGTACCACAAATATCCATGGCACCAGGATGAGCTTTCTATTTGTTTTGTTCTTTGTTTTATTTTTTTCTCCATCTTAACAAAGAAATGTTTAATTTACTGTAATACCTAGACTTTTCCAGCATTTTCTCCTTAATATTGTTATATGCTAGCAAAGTTGTCATATCAAGCAACKTTGAGAGACTTTTAAGGGAAACTTGCAACATATCTTTTTTCTCAACAAGCCAATAGTAATGGTAGAGAAGAAACTCGTGAAGATCTTAAGCTTACARCATGCTGGATGCAAACCCTTGGATTTGTGCATTCAGCCATCTTAGAATGAGGCCAGAAGAGAGCAAATTCTTCACTTGGATGCTGTTTGAGCAYTAAGGAAAACAACACACTTAGCTGCATTTCAAAGAGATTTTTCACAAGGGTTATCCATGTTATTTTCAAATTAGTAAATTAAATACAGGTAAGTCTATCAGCAAAACTCCCCAAAGTTTGTTTACTGAAATGATTGAAAAAAAAAATCTGTTAATGTTTTCCACATAAGGAACATTAATCATTTTGCTTAGAGAGCCCTTTTATCTACATTAATTAATATGCCACCCACTTAGTTGAAAAAAGTCAGTAAGCTTTTTTTGCTGTTTCTTAATCAAGTAGGTGCAAATTTTGTAGTAATGTGACATATTGCTGCTAAAAAACATTTCTTTTATGTGATGGTGTTCATTCAAAGGAAAACAAAGAGATTGTGCTGTGCTAAGTAACTTGTACAACTTGCTCAGGCTGGATTTTGAAAGCAATGGAGAGTTGCAGATGAGGCAATTTTCCTTATGCACTTGATGACAAAATGGGGAAATAGTGTGACTGCTTGGATACCTTCTAATGAATATTCTATTTGACAAGAATTCCAACCCCAAATCCTTCCCATCCAAAATCTCCACTGTGCCTGGTTTAYATTACAAAAGTAGAAACAGCATAGGTTTTGCAGCATTAGCACACAGAAACACACTTTAGCGCACTGTTTCTCATTCTTACAGAATTATGGAATTGCAGTTGATTCCAGCCATTTTTCCCAGGCAAATGGATATATTTGTTGCTTTCTCATCCCTCATAAAGATCTGTATGTAGAAGCACTGCAGAAATAGCTCTGAATATTCTTGATAATTTTAGTCTTAAGAYGATCTTACATGCATGTATGTAAGCTACATGTTCACCTTCAAAAAGGTTTTTCTGTCTTGCTGCAAAATTCTGAGATAAGACTGTGACAATAGCTTGAATTTTGCATAAAGGCTCCCTTTGGCAAGCTGATGCCAAAATATGTTTCATTTCTTCACCATAAAGGAAAACCCTTGAAGGATAACCTTGCTGGCGTTATTCTAAAGTGTTCTTTCCCATCAATCCAGCCCTCTGCTCTGAAAAAAGTGCATCAGGCAATAATCTACAAGGCTTCTTCTATTAGGAGGTCATCAAAGGCTGCAAGGATTATGGAAGAATTTGCATGGGTTTTGTGGGCTGTGGAGATGAAATGATCCAGGTACCTCACCTGGATCAATGTTTTTCACTGACATGCAGCGCAGTGTTGGAAGCAGTTCTATTCAGGTCAGAGGTTGGCTCCTAAATTCCCAGGGAGCTAAGTTTCTTATCCCATGGGATCACCAGTGCTGAAGTTTCTTCCTCTTCTCCTYACTTAGTCTCAGATCAGGATGTTACCGCCTCTTTCATGGAAGGGTTCTACTGCAGGGAGTTTTGCAGCACCCAGCACTGAGTTTGAATCTTGAAATATCCTGGAGACAGACCAGGAGAAGAGAAAAGCATGAAAAAGGTACTCTGGGTGTAGAGAAGGCAGGAAGAGTGTCCCCCCTAATTAGTTGTTTCTAAGCTCCTTCATGGTGCAAGCTTTTTGATTCAGAGAAAAGAAGGCTATCTATCACACTACTTATTGTTCGTTTGATAATCTGAGAACTGGTTAGATGCCAYATGTTTCAATTCCAGTGCCAGAGAGACCAAGGATCAGATATTCATGAAAGGGACAATGAGGCATGCAAGTTCAAATGAAGAATTTCTCCTGYGAAGGCTTAACAAACCAAGGCAAAATGTCTTATCAGATTTGTGTAAAACTGCCAAGCTGTACTACAACAGCTATTCAGGGTCATAAACCTTCCACTCACCCAGGTTACYACTGCTAACAGCAAAGACCTACATGGATAGACAACTGCATGAACTGAAAACAGATCAGTGTGAGCCCTGGCCCTCCCATGCAAGTGAACAAACAGGATGGTGGCATTCCCTGTGCCCAGCTCGCTGAGGATGTTCGGGCCGTGCTGTGAACTTACTCATGCTCCTTTTGAGCAGTGCAAGAAATGTGAGAAACCGGTATTGCTCCAGGTTAAAATAAGTAATGTTTAATGTGAAATGAGAGCTTTCCCCATTTCCTTCATGCACACAGTTGTTTAGCATTGCTGAATGAATGCTAAAACCAGCCATTATATGTCAATTCCAGATACAAAGCAGCCAAGTGGACAAAAATAACTTCAATAGCGCTGACTGAGTATCTCCTGCTTTCCRTCAGTGGAGGATAACTGTTCTTATCCTCTGGGGTTTCTCTTCAGCTTTTAATTAAGGAGYAATTTTTCAGAGTGACATACTCAAATTGTCAGTGAAAAGGAAAACATTATGAGTGAAATTGCCTCTCTGCTGATGTTGCTTTCCTTCAAAAAGTCCCACATGATCAGATTTGGTCTGATTTTAAACCCATGTCCAGCCACCAGGTAAACTGACCAAACAGCAGAGATTTCAGAAAATTATCTCCMAGTGCCTGATACTTGCATAGCATCAAAATAGTTTGTATTTGAGTCAGGGCTGGACTATAACAATGCTGCAGGTAAGCAAAGGACCTTGAGGATGCAAAGCTAAAGTGTGACCTCCTTTGAAGCATTCATCAGATTAATCATTTACTTTGAGATCTGGCAGTGCTCCTTACATACCCTACAGAAAAAGCTGGCACAGAGCTATATCTGTAGGTAAGATTCCCTTCCTTCTTCCAGATGGTTTGAAAATACTATCCTACTATGGAAATGATGYTCTTTCCTCTTTCCTAATGAGTTGATCCTCATTAGATATTTAGACTACAGCCATGCAAATGTCTGGACAGTAAGTCATGAGCCTGTAGGAAATCCTATTGCTGCTGTTGAATGCTGTRGAAGATGTCTTAAACATATCAGACTACCTTCCCCCTGCTGCCAAGGCTTTCTGTAGGAAGATTCATCATGATAACAAAGTTTTCCKTAGTTTTCAGTTCTCAGTACATATCTGCAGCTCTGGACTAGAGGGTGTGGTTGCTRTTTTTCTGCA